ATTTTTAATAGTTTAAACGTATAACAAAACAAACAGTATTTTTTTATATTATTTTTATTAATCACAGAGATTTATTTTTCAGATTTAAAATTTATTCTTTAACACTGCAAAAAGTAATTGTAAAAACAGAAATTAGCATACAGTTTTGTATAATACATCGGCAGTATTAACTGCTTTTATCAAGTCACTAAAACGCAATAATACTTCAAAATAAAACCTAAAGTTAGTTCTTTTAACTGTAAAAGTAATAAGTAATTATTTTGTGCATTGCTTACCGACTTATTTCTTGTTGCTTTGACAAAATTTTATCAATAATTCTAATACATCTGGCTAAATGATTCTGATCATATGCTTCTCTTGCTGCTTGTTCCAATTCTCTTTCATTCATATCTTCCAAAATAACCCCAGTCAACGGTTGGCTAAAGGCTAAAATAGTTTTAACTTTAGTCATTCACAAAACTTAGTTTTCTGGTTCTTATAATTTAGCTATTATTTTTGCTGATTCATACATATTGGCTGTAACACACTTGTTATCAGAGAGCCAAATTCTAAATTTTATAGGTTTTCAATTAAATAAAATTTTTAAATATCTGTGCAGTTAAGTTGTTGATAGGAAAGAAGAGAATTTGTCTTACATAACTGAAACATTTTTCTGGACCTTTCTGCTAAATTTATTCGTTCATAGGTGCTGCTGCTCGATGATGAAAAGCTTTTAAGTGATGATGTAGGAGTATGCTCTTCCATAACACTTTTTAATAAAGTCAATTTCTAAAGAAAATAATTATGCTATCTCAATGATAAACTTTTTTATGTTTATTATAAATATTATTTGTTCCGTTCGAGCAGTCAATCAATCAAAAAGATAAAAGACAAAAAAAAAACAGATGTAAACCATTTTTAACATTTATCACTGGCAAACAGTTTGTAAGGCTTACATGAATAACATCTTTGGCGATCGTCTGAGCTTCTGAAGATTGTGCAAACACCGAGGGATTTGCATCTTCAAGGTTGCATACTTCGAGCAATAAGTTCTTGATAAGTGACAGCTTATCATCCATTTGAAATATTCTCTCTCGCCCACATGAGTTGAAAAATTTTAGAACAATAAGCCTAAAAAAATTTGATTACTCAATTCAAAAAAAAAATAAAGGAAGCAGAAAACGTACTGGTGATAGTATATTCTTGGCGTACGTTTGTCATACAACAGAACAATAATCTAAGATACAAGACGACCGTAATAATGTTATCAAATTGCTTCAGCTTCTTACAGTTTATACCTACTGTATCATCGAAACAGCTTCAGCTACGTTGTTTAACATCAATTATTGTGGTTCTTCACCAACACACACATGGTTTGTGCCGTCATTTTCTCAGTGTAGACAGTTATGGAGTGGTACAGAAAAGTAATGAGGTGGTATACGATGAAAAAAGCATAAACTAAATAGAACAAATAATAAATAAGTGAGTGGCAAAAAAATTTTGAAGTTTCAATAAACGCAAAACAAAGCAACAGAAAAAAAAAAAAAAA